TCAAAAAAGATAAGGAGGGCCACTATATTCTCATCAAAGGAAAAATCCAACAAGAGGACATCACAATTTTGAATATCTATGCCCCAAATACAAGAGCACCTACATTCGTAAATGAAACAATATTAAAGCTTAAATCATACATTGATCCTAATACCTTAATAGTAGGAGACTTCAACACCCCACTCTCATCAAGAGACAGATCAACCAGACAGACACCAAATAGGGAAATAAAAGCACTCACAGAATCCCTAAATCAAATGGACCTAATAGATGTCTACAGATCTTTTCACCCAAACTCAAAAGAGTACACCTTCTTTTCAGCACCACATGGAACCTTCTCCAAAATAGACCATATAGTTGGTCACAAAGCAAGCCTCAACAGATACAAAAGGATTGAAATAATCCCTTGTATACTATCTGACCACCATGGACTAAAGCTGGACATCAACAACAACAGAAACAACAAAAAGCCGACACGCACATGGAAACTGAACAACTTACTACTCAATGACAGCTGGGTCAAGGAAGAAATAAAGAAAGAAATTAAAGACTTTCTAGAATTCAATGAAAATGAAGGCACAACATACCCAAATTTATGGGACACATTGAAAGCAGTGCTCAGAGGAAAATTTATAGCACTAAGTGCCTACAAGAAGAAATCCGTAACATCACATACAAACAACTTAATGGCCCAACTGAAAAACCTAGAAAAAAAAGAAGCAGATACACCCAAGAGGAGCAGACGGCTGGAAATAATCAAACTAAGGGCAGAAATCAATCAATTAGAAACAAATAAAATTATCCAAAGAATCAATGAAACAAAAAGCTGGTTCTTTGAGAAAATCAACAAGATAGACAAACCGTTAGCCAAACTAACTAAAAAGCAGAGAGAAACCATACAAATCAGCAAAATCAGAAAGGAAAATGGGGACATAACTACAGACACTGAGGAAATCCAAACGATTATTAGGTCATACTACAAAAGCCTATATGGCACAAAATTTGAAAATCTAAATGAAATGGATAACTTTCTTGACAGATTCCATCTACCAAAATTAAGTCAAGATCAGGTAGAAAGACTGAATAGTCCTATATCTCCCAAGGAAATTGAAGCAGTCATTAACAGTCTCCCCTCCAAAAAAAGCCCTGGACCAGATGGCTTCAGCGCAGAATTCTACAAGACCTTCAAAGAAGTACTAACACCAATTCTCCTCAAACTATTCCATAAAATAGAAACAGAAGGAACACTACCAAACTCATTCTATGAAGCCACAGTCACTTTGATACCTAAACCACACAAAGATCCAACCAAAAAAGAGAACTTCAGACCTATCTCTCTTATGAACATTGATGCAAAAATACTCAATAAAATACTTGCAAACCGAATCCAAGAACACATCAAAGATATCATCCACCATGACCAAGTAGGCTTCATCCCAGGAATGCAAGGGTGGTTCAACATACGGAAATCCATCAATGTAATCCACCACATAAACAAAATGAAGGAGAAAAACCACATGATCATCTCCTTAGATGCTGAAAAAGCATTTGACAAAGTCCAACACCCATTTATGTTTAAAGTCTTGGAGAGATCAGGGATACAAGGCACATACCTAAAGATAGTAAAGGCAATATACAGCAAGCCTATAGCCAACATCAAACTCAATGGAGAGAAACTTAAAGCAATCCCACTGAAATCAGGGACAAGACAAGGCTGCCCACTCTCTCCATATCTCTTTAACATTGTACTTGAAGTCCTAGCCAGAGCAATAAGACAACTAAAGGAGATCAAGGGGATACAAATCGGAAAGGAAGAGGTCAAAGTGTCACTATTTGCAGATGATATGATAGTATACATGAGCGAACCCAAAGATTCAACCAGAGAACTTCTTCAGCTGATAAACACCTTTAGCAAAGGGGCAGGATACAAAATCAACTCAAAAAAATCAGAAGCCCTCTTGTATACCAAAGACAAAAAGGCCGAGAAAGAAATTAGGGAAACAACACCCTTCACAATAGCCACTAATAACATAAAGTACCTTGGTGTGACTCTAACCAAGCAAGTGAAAGACCTGTTTGAGAAAAACTTCAAGTCTTTGAAGAAAGAAATTGAAGAAGATCTCAGAAGATGGAAAGATCTCCCGTGCTCATGGATTGGTAGGATTAACATTGTGAAAATGGCCATCCTGCCAAAAGCAATTTACAGATTCAATGCAATTCCCATCAAAATACCAACTCAATTCTTTACAGACCTTGAAAAAAAGATTCTCAGCTTCATATGGAGAAACAAAAAACCCAGAATCTCCAAAACAATCCTGTACAACAACAGATCATCTGGAGGTATCTCCATTCCCGATCTCAAGCTGTACTACAAGGCAACAGTAATAAAAACTGCATGGTATTGGCATAGAAACAGAAAGGAGGATCAATGGAATCGCATAGAAGACCCAGAAATAAACCCACACACCTATGAATACTCAATATTTGACAAAGAAGCCAAATCCATTCAATGGAAAAAAGACAGCATCTTCAACAAATGGTGCTGGACCAACTGGATGTCTACATGCAGAAAAATGAAAATAGACCCATATTTATCACCCTGCACAAAACTAAAGTCCAAGTGGATCAAGGACCTCAACATAAAACCAGATACTCTAAATCAGCTGGAAAAAAAAGTGGGAAACAGCCTAGAATTCATTGGCACAGGAGACAACTTCCTGAACAGAACACCAACAGCACAGGCTCTAAGAGCAACAATCAATAAATGGGACCTCATGAAACTGAAAAGCTTCTGTAAAGCAAAAGACACTGTCATCAAAACAAATAGACAGCCTACAGATTGGGAAAGAATCTTCACCAACCCTTTATCTGACAGAGGGCTAATATCAAGTATATATAAAGAACTAAAGAAGCAGAAAAGCAACAAACCAAGTAATCCACTTAAAAAATGGGGAACAGAGCTAAACAGAGAATTCTCGAAAGAGGAACATCGAATGGCAGAGAAACACTTAAAGAAATGCTCAACCTCATTAGCCATTAGGGAAATGCAAATCAAAACGACCCTGAGATTTCACCTTACACCCATCAGAATGGCCAAGATGAAAAACTCAAGTGATAGCACATGCTGGAGAGGTTGTGGAGAAAAGGGAACCCTCCTCCATTGCTGGTGGGAATGTAAACTGGTTCAACCACTCTGGAAGTCAATCTGGCGCTTTCTCAGACAACTAGGAGTAGTGCTACCTCAAGACCCAGCTATACCACTCCTAGGTATATACCCAAAATTTGCTCAAGTACACAACAAGGACATTTGTTCAACCATGTTCGTAGCAGCTTTATTTGTAATAGCCAGAACTTGGAAACAACCCAGATGTCCATCAACGGAGGAATGGATACAGAAATTGTGGTATTTTTACACAATGGAATACTACTCAGCAATCAAAAAGGAGGAAATCATGAAATTTGCAGGCAAGTGGTGGGATCTAGAAAAGATCATTCTGAGTGAAGTATCCCAGAAGGAGAAAGACAAACTTGGTATATACTCGCTTATATAGACCTACAAGACATGATAAACATAATGAAATCTACACACCTAAAGAAGATAATCAAGAAAGTGGACACAGGCGAAGGTGATTAATCCTCATTTAGAAAGACAAATGGGATGTGCCTTGAACTTATGACAGGAGTCTACCACAAAAGGCATCTGAAAGACTCTACCTAGCAGTGTTTCAAAGCAGACACTCAGACTCATAACCAAACCCTCGGCAGAGTGCAGGGAATCATATGAAAGAAGGGAAGTTAGTATGATATGGAAAGGATAGGAGCTCTACAAGGACCAAATATATCTGGGCACAGGGTCTTTTCTGAGACTGACACTCAACCAAGGACCATCTATGGATATAACCTAGAACTTCTGCTCGGATGTGGCCTGTGGTAGCTCAGTAACCAAGTAGTTTTCCAAAGTAAGGGGGACACGGACTATTTCTAACAGGATCTCAAGGGCAGGCTGTTTGACACCTCCCCCCAGGGGAGGAGCAGTCTGTTAGGCCACAGAGGAGGACTTGGTAGCCAGCCCTGAAGATACCTGATAAAACAGGGACAGATGAAAGGGGAGGAGGTCCTCCCCTATCAGGGGACTTGGAAAGGGGCAGGGAGGAGACCAGGGAGGGAGTGTGGGGTTGGGGAGGGAATGAGGGAGCGGGATACAGCTGGGACACAGAGTTAACAAAATGTAACTAAAAAGAAAAAATAAAAAAAAATAAAAATAAAAAAAAAAAAAAAAAAAAGAAAGAAGAGGGTGACAAACCGAATTAGAAAATACATTTGGACTAACTAGTAAGCTTCTGCTTGGAAATAAATAAGTAAACAAATGAACACTAATAAAATTGAATAATAAGTATATAAATAAAGAATATTTTGATATAGCAAAATGAAATTTAAATCACGATTGGATTGTCATTGAAAATCAATTTATTATATATATAATTTTAAAAGTAGGCTTTATCTGTAATGATGGTTATATAGTTTCTGAAGAATTAATTACATATGTGGTTCTGTTCATTATGTATCAACTGGGTAATATTTAAAAAGAGATTCAAGTATGTGTAAGTCAGTGATGGACTGCTGTACAGTGGTGGTCCTGAGTCATTGCCACCACCTTAATTTGTAAATGTGTTCTGGGATACTCACATGAAGGACACATGTCTTAAGGTCTCACATCTCTGTAATAAAATAATATTTTCTATACACTCACAACAGTGGTTACTTTGTGATAGGATTATATCATTTTTCATAGGCTGCTGACATAAAATGGAAGTGTGTATAGTAATAAAATTTTGGGAATTGGTAAAGAAAACCTGGGTGTAGTTCTTTTCTGTTATCCAGGATAAACCTGTTTTAAAGAATATCAATTCTCTTATTTATCTCTTTATTTATTGGTTCTAAATTTCAGCTGATATATATATATATATATATATATATATATATTTCAATTCTTTTTACAGTTACTTGCCATGGTTTGAAGTATATTATAAGCTTCTAAATACTTTGGCAGATTACTTGGCCAAGGAACTGGTAAGTTAATTTTTTTTTCTGTATAATTTTATTGTGTTAAAATACAGAGAGTAAAGATTATAATTTTATGGTATTTATCACAGTGACATTTTTTTCTAACCACCAATATAACACATCCAAAAAACCCAAACTCTGTACTCATTAAATAATAATTAACCGTTTCCTTTTCTTTTCCCCCTCATCAACCGCCATGATATCTGTAAATCTTCTTAACTTCAAGTCCCCACATAGGTAGCTCTCACGTTGGTTCTTGCTTATTTCACTTAAGGTAGCACATTCAGAGTTTCTTAAACATTCAAATGAGTGAATAAACAAGTATTAGTAGGCCTGTAATAGGCCTTTTGTCTATTATAGATGATTGTTCAGCTGTCTTTTCCAGCAGACCCATTCATAGTTAGTGGTAGGAGCTTTCCAGGTATACATTAATGCCTTAGTTTAAACAAAACAACTTACTCTTCTAGTTACATTTATATTTTTCATATATCTGGAGATATAGATATGTATAGTTCTGTATTTCAGTGTTTGAGGAAGGACCGTGTATACTGTGTTCTGCAATGGCTGCACCATTTAACATTCCCTTTCGGAATATACAAGGATATTCTTAATTATATTTGCTTCTTATGTGTTTTAACTATTAAATAATCTTTTCTTTGTTTCAGGAAGATGATTTGAATGAAACTCTGAAATCACTCTATAATCACCCTGTACCAAATGCAAACACTCCTGTCAACTTGAGTGTGGTAAGCGCTTCATAGTTTGTTTTTAGATACAATTCATTCTCATTTAAGGACACGTGTCTGTTCCAAGAGTCATTTGCCAAATTTCCCGTTTCTTGGAAGACTCAAATGATGGTATTAACCTTGCTTGGTGCTAATATCAAGAAGTGAAGTCTATAAATAATAATAAAAAAATATTCACCCCCCCCAAACCTTTTCTAAAAGAAGAGGTGCTTCACAAAAGAAAGCCGCATAGTGATACACAGAATGAAGATTCCAGCTAAAATGCCCTGGTCTTTCCTTACATGTGAACGTACTGTTCAGGTTAGTTATGAGATTCTGCAACTTATCAGTGTTTGTGTGAATAATAGGCTTATTGTACCAATCTGCTTTGAGATGCTCAGTGAACTTTGACACTTACATCTTCTTAGGTTGATATGCCCAGGAATTGTGGGGCTTATTGCTATTAAACATTGTTGAAAACAAACTATGGTGGTTTCATTCATATCTTTTGTTAATTTTTCAAATAAAATAGGTTAAAATGTATTATACTGTCATTGTTTCTTGTGAATATGTTGGTTTTTTTTATTTCTGAAAAAGGAAGAAAAAATTAATAGGGCAAGGAAATTTTTGAGGAAATTCAACTTGAAACTTTATTCATGTAAGGCATTTTGCAGCTTTGCATGATAATGAAATTGTTATGCTCATGATCTTTCTTTGGAAATAACTATTGTCATGCCTGTATTGCTTCCATTATTCAAAAAATCCTTTTCTTTACAGAAGCTTTTCAGTCTCATGAGGTCCCATTTATTGATTGTTGCTCTTAGAGCCTGTGCTGTTGGTGTTCTGTTCAGGAAGTTGTCTCCTGTACCAATGAGTTCTAGGGTCTTCCCCACTTTTTCTTCTGACCGATTTAATGTTTCTGGTTTTATGTTGAGGTCTTTGATCCACTTGGACTTTAGTTTTGTGCAGGGTGATGAGTAAGCATCTATTTGCATTTTCTACATGTAGACATCCAGTTAGACCTGCACCATTTGTTGAAGATGCTGTCTTTTTTCCATTGTATGGTTTTGGCATCTTTGTCAAAGATCAGGTGTCCATAAGTGTGTGGGTTTATTTCTGAGTCTTCTGTTCGGTTCCATTGATCCACCATTCAATGTTTCTATGGCAGTAGTGAGAATTAGTAAGATCTGGAAAGGACAGGAACTCTACAAGGAGAGCAACTGAACCAGAAAATTTGAACACAGGGGTCTTCCCAGAGACTCATACTCCAACCAAGTACCATGCATGGAGATAACCTAGAACCCCTGCACACATGCAGCCTATGGCAGTTTAGTGTCCAAGTGGGTTACATAGTAATGGGAAGAGGGACTGCATCTGACATAATCTAATTGGCCTGCTCTTTGATCATCTTCCCCTGAGGGGGGAGCAGCCTTACCAGGCCACAGAAGATGACAATGCAGCCACTCCTGATGAGATCTGATAGACTAAGATCAGAAGGAAGGACAGGAGGACCTCCCCCATCAGTGGACTTGGGGAGGGGGATGCGTGAAGAAGGGGGAAGGTGTGATTAGGAGAGAGAAGGGAGTGGCTTATGAGGGGATATAAAGTGAATAAAGTGTAATTAATAAAAGTTAAAAAAAAATCCTGACTGCACAGTTGACCATGTTTGTTCTTTCCTGAAATCTTTGCTGTCTAATCTCTGTGTGTTTTCATTTGCTGCAAACTGCCCCAGTGCATAGAATTAATTTCCACTGGAGATTATGAAATGAAAGCCCAGGAGAACTTGGGATTTTAACTCAAATTACTTGCTGGAAGTACTCAGCAAGCATAGATGTTGCTGTCTAAATAGCTTATTGGAAGCATAGAGGAAAAGCTATAGTCTGCTTACCCAGGCAGACTATCATGAAAAAGAAAGGAAATCACATGAAAACTAGAGAAAAGGTCATGAAGAAACTCAAGACTCACAAGTCATTGAGATGCAAATACTGCAGATTCCTTGCTTAGTCAGAGTGCACAAAAAAATAGACATCATCTCTTTAAACTATTGTATTTATAAAGCAATCAAAAAACTTGGTTATGGAACGTAGATGTTCTTAAATTAAATAATGGAAACAGCTATTGTAGAGGACTCTTAGGTGGTGAAAATGCACTCTGACAGCTGCATGGTTCAGCAGTTTAGAGCCCTTGCTACTCTTGTAGAAGAACAGTTTTGTTCCTAGCACTCAAGCCAGTGGCTCATAGCTGCATATAACTGGTTCCAGGTGATCTGATGCCCGCCCTTGGCCTCCACAGCCACCATCACACATGTGTTCATATACACAAACACACACCTTATATATTTAAATAAATCTTTACAAAATGTGCCCTATTCAAATTTGTTATTTATTTAGGCTTTTGGTTTTTATATGATACCTAGGGCCTTGCTGTCTGCCAATGAGCTGTGTTCCAAGCCCTTACTTTCTTTTCAATAGAATAATTGTACCTGTTGATGGGATACGTATACTGTGATACCTCTCTGATTCTAACAAGTATTTATAGATTGTATATATGAGGGAAATCATATGGCTATTTGTATTGTTTCATTTAACATAACATTCTCCAGTTTGTCCATATTACCATAAATGACAAAGTTTCATTTTAATTGCTAAATAGGAGTCTTCCATGTTTGTGCATGTGTGTAAATAAAATTACCTTCAAAATGTGTATCTATTGGTGAAAACCAAGGCTGATTCCATTTCTTGGCTATTCCATGAGCAAAGGAGTGCAGTATCTCTGCAACAAATGTGGGCTGCAGGCCTCCTGATATCCTTCCCTTTGAGTGCACAGTCAAAAGTGGGATTGCTGGATCAATAGGACATTTTGTTTTTACCTTTTTGGAGAGGCTTGCACATTGTTTTTCATAGTGGCTTTGCATATTTCTATTCTCACCAGCAATGTGTTAGTGTTCTCTTTAAAGAGTCCTCAGCACTTGCTCCTTTTTGTCTGCTTTATAATATTTCCCAAACTAGAGTGAAGTAGCATATTACAGTTTTTGTTTGCATTTCTCTAGTATTTGGTTGATGTTAAACACATTTCTGTATACCTATCAGTTGGGCTTTTGAATTAATAGTCTATAATAGCTTTCAAGTCTTGCATTCCTGTTTTCAAGCTATAGTTATTGACTATACTACTAAAATCCACCTGGGGTTTTGTATGAAGTTCAGTACTTATTTTGTTTCAGTAGCAGAATAGTATGTACCCAGGACTGTCTATCAATGATGGGCAGTTTGAAGACTAGAACTAGTCTTAACCAGAACTTTGTCTTAGATAGTCCTAACTAGCTGGGGAGAGAAATTTTATGTCAGATTAAAAGTCATGCTTTTCAAAGTCTTTACCAAAAGTTTTAGATATGATTATTGATCATTGGAATATTGCAGATTTTATGAAAAGTTAATATGTAATATAAGTGATTAACAAAACTGTACTTCAAAAAATAAATACCACTGTCTTTGTACACACAGTGTAAAACTTTGCACAGGATATTTCCAGAATAGATTAGCAGGTCAGAATTTAGAATATTCTATATCATGAATGTCACTCAGGTACTCTCAGTGGATAATATAGCAACATGGATTTTTCTCAGTATACAGGAAGGTTTTTGTATGTAAGCTTCCCCTTTGAAGTAAATTACTCATTTTTTTCTCATAAGAACCAAGAGCTATTTATTGCCAGTGAGCAAGTTCTGAAAGATGAGCCCTCACTAATGCTGGTGAGTGAACAGGACCTTGACTTCTAAAATCACTCCTCTAAAATCATTATGCCTTTATGATTCACTCTGGTTCTTTGGAAAATGGAAAATGGACTACAACAATGATCAATTAGAATCTATTTTCTGTTTATACCTTCTTTTTCCTAATTTTCTAAGACATAATAAAATGAAAAAACTCATCCAAAAAGGCTTTTGATAGACAGAAACTTTTATTTTCTCTTTTTAGTAGTGGGCTGAAGTATATTCACTGCATGAGATTCCCGTCACAATTATTATTTTTTTTTTGTCACAGGATCATCTTGTGACTTGTATTGTCCTCCCACTCTGGAAAATTATGTGTTATGACAGTGAAACAGCCTCTGACTAGTTCAGCTCTGTTCAAATACTGTTGAATGTTTCTGTTACAATCTTTAGATGTAAGACAGTCTTAAATATATCTGTATATAATTAAGGCATTAAAATCATTTGAGAACATAATATCAACAGAAAATAGAACGGATCACAATTGCACTTTGATTTGCTTGGCAATATGGGTGGCCATTTTTTGGGATACTGGTGGTTAGAGACTACCCCTTTCCTGGAAATATTATGTAATGTTGCTTTGTTTACTCTGGAAATAAAAATTTGTTTATTGGTGAATGCATATGGTCATAGTTTTGGTTAGGAAATCCATTTTTAATTTTTAATCATTGAAAGACTATCTTTCTTTGTTGTTTTCTGAATAGTAAGTACACTTGCTGCAAAAATGTATTCACTAGAGCTCATCATAGAAACCTAGGAGTCCCTAGATTTTACAGACTCTTCAATTACCATGCTTTTATTTTTCAGTCTTCCTAAATATATTTTGAGAATATATGTTCTTAGATTTATTTAAGTATGTGTAACCTTTTGGTAATATAATCTTTTTATTGTCTTAAAACTTGTACAGATTCTTATTATTCTGTCCAATTTCAAAGTCTCTTATTTTTGATCATCACTTCTTATGTGAGACTGTCATTATTAATGTTATTTAGATCTGCCTTGTTTTGTCACCATGTCCAAATTGTTAGTCTGTGGCTTTCACCAGTCCGTTTTTTTTTTTTCCTTATTTTTGTTGCAAATTATATGGACTATGAAAAGTAACGATTGTTTTCTGTGCTCATTTTGGTGACTAGCACTCCTGTTTTATCGCCCCTGACGTGACAGGACTCCCAACCATACCGGAGAGTGTAAGTGTCTGGTTTCTCTTTCTAAGCTTACGTTACAAATGTGCATAACTGAGTGCTCAGTCAGGGCCAAGCACACACTCAGTTCCTGAGTGTGGCTGTCTGACTGTAAGGAAGTGTCAAGGCGTGCCTTCTGCTAAGTGGGGAAGAATGCTAGGAGGAAACGTTGGCACTTTACAGTCATTTTTAGTAAACAGACCATTGAATTTTAGACTTTCTCTCTGTCTCTTTGTTTAAATCATTAGTGTCCCAGTTGTTGATTTCCTGGTTTTAATTAATGCAGTATGTATGTTATTAGACTTGAAGAGATTATAGAACTAATGCTTGTTATATTGTTAATTGTAGCTATATTGGAAATGCTCTCTGCTTACCAAGAGTTAAGTCAGGGGAGGCAGAGGCAGGGAGATCTCTGTGAGTTCAATGCTAGCCTGGTCTACAAAGTGAGTCCAAGACAGCCGGGGCTACACAAAGAAACCCACAAAAGAAATAAAGAAAGAAAGGAAGAAAGGAAGGAAGGAACAAGAGTTACCCAAGTAGGAGCGCTTATGGATATGTGGGATTGATGGATATCTTTCCATGCCATTTGATAACTGTGAGACAAGGAAAATATTCCCTTCATTTTTTTTTCTTAGAACATTAAAGTAAGTCAGGAATAAACCTGTAGGAAAACCAGTAGGAAAATTTTTTCAGGTATACTTGTATTTACCTAAGATACATACTGTTTGTCCATATTGATTTCAAACCATTACAACATTTGCTTTCTCAAATAAAAATAGTGAATTTTTGAAGGTCAAAAATACAAATGCAAATCATTCTGTGTAGATTTGTGGATGGGTGCGTGTGTGGGTACCCTGTGTACGTACCACGTGAGTGATTAAGGGTGTCAGAGGACGCCACCGGGTGCCTTCCTGTATTATTCTCTGCCTTCCTTTGTGAGAAAGGCTGCAGCTGGAGCCCACCAATATTTCTTGAAATCCAATTGCCTATACCTCCCAAGTGTACGATTATAGGAGTGTGCCCCCATGTCCAGATTTTATGTGGATGCTGAGGATCAGAACTCAGGTCTTCGTACATTTTACCAACTCAGCCATCTCCCAAGCCCCACAATTGTAAATTTTCTAATATCAAATCAAATTGAAACTTTAAAAAATTAACTTATTACTTTATATCCAGATCACAGCCTCCCCTCCTCCTCTTTTCCTTTTCATCTTCCCTTCCCAACCTCCCTCCCCTCAGAATAGGGGAGAGCTCTCATGGATATAAACCAGCCTTGGCATATAAGTTGCATTGAGATTAGGTGCATCTTCTCCTAAGTGAGGCTAGACAGACACCCCAGTTAGGGGATCGAAAGGCAGGGAATATAGTCAGAGAAAGCCCCTGCTCCCACTTTAGGGAAGATCCAGCTCCACAACTGTCACATTTGTGCAGAGGGCCTAGGTCTGTCCTATTCGTGCTCTCTGGTTGGCAGTTCAGACTGTATGAGCCCCATTGGTTAATTTCTATAGTTCTCTTGTGGTGTCCTTGACTCCTCTGGCTCCTTCAATCCTTCCTTTGCCTCTTCCACAGGATTCCCGTTTAGCTGTGGAATCTGCATTAGTTCCCATCAGTTGCTAGGTGAAGCCTCTCTGATGACATTTATGCTTCTGTTTGCAAGTATAGCAGAATTTCATTAACAGTGTCAGAGGTGGGCTCCCTCTCCTGGCATGTGTCTCAAGTTGGGCCAGTCTTTGGTTGGCCCGTCCCTTAAATTCTCCTCCATCTTTTACATATTGTAGTCCCATCTTGCAGGCAGGACAAATTGTGGATCTGAGGGTTTGTGGCTGGTTGGTATCCCAATCCCTCCATTGGCAGTCTTACCTGTGTATAGGAGATGGCTGGTTCAGGCTGTATATTCCCCATTGCTAGGAGGCTAGCTAGGCTAACCCTTATAGACTCTAGGGGGTTTCCATTGGCCTAGCTGTCTAGCTCCTCCCAGAAATGCCTGGCCCTAATCCAGTAGCCTCTCCCAGTAGTCTCTCTTTCCTTCCACCACCTCATTCCTCCCATTACAAATCTTATGATTTTCAAATAAGTCCTGTCAAAAGACTTTGGATAAACTTGATCTTGCAATGTGGATTCAGGATAGACCACCCAAGCTCTCAGTCTCATAATGAACTCTTGAACTTTGCACCTGATGAGCACAGGATCATGGCAGCTTCCTGTGTTCTGGTGAGATGTCCATTATCCTGTCACAGAGAAGTTTCATACAGAGTTACTCTCTTCTCTCTAGTTACCCCTCTTACATTTACTAGCAAATAGCTGACAGTTTAAAGTTTACTTTTTAATTTCTATTTTTTACATATACACATATAATATATATATATATATATATACACACACACACACACACACACATATAATATGAGTGAGTTTTTGCAGGTCAGATGACCATTTTGATTTTTAACCCCCTCCTTCCACCATCTGGGTCCTCAGAGTTAGGTCATCAGGCTTCAAGTCAAGTACCTTTACCTGTTGAACTATCTGAGAGCTCTAGTTTCATCTTTAGAGACCATTATTTTCAATTATTTAAAGAAGCAAATATTCCATTAAAAGCCAGTTATAAGAATATAAAGAAATAAAGTTTTACATTATCACTGATGCACTTTCCCACTGTCCCATTGAGGGAAAAGGAATGTAAGCATCCAGCAGTGATGTGCTGCGCTGGAGGGCAATGATTCTCCACTCTCCACTCAGAGATGGCCTGTCTGTGATGATAACAGAAGTAGTTCTGGGCAGGTTGCAAAGGTAATGTTGTGTGTGGACTTGAGTGGGAAGGTGAAGGAAACCAGTGAAAATGGGCAGCCCGCCCCTTCCCACCAGTGTAATAGCACTCACAGGATTTCAGATTTTGTTTTTGTTTTTGTTTTGAGATGCCATGATTGACAGGGCGTATTGTAAGATCTTTGCCTTCCCTAAGTTGGAGAGGTAGGTAGATCTCTTATGTTCTTGCCCCCCAAGGTTTGAACCTTTTAGATCTTTAACCAGCATACCCTATACTTTCTGTGCATTATAATATTGGATTTCTAAAAATGCTTTAGTTTCCTCTCTGTCTCTGTCTCTCTGTCTCTCTCTCTCTCTGAGTTTCAGCAAATTGAAAGTAATCACCATGGACAGGCATAAGTAGCACTGTTAATGAAGCTCATCCCTGTTGTTTGTTGTTGTTTATTATGTAGTGGAAGTCTAACAGATGCATTAAACTGAGGAATCAACTTAGCATTCCACAAAGTTATATTTGACTATAGTAGTAAAAAGCAAGCTTGAGGAGGGGAAAATTCTGGATATTTTCTTTAGTAGTGATGCAAAGGACTGCTTATAAATCCACCCTCTCCAGTGGGTGCCTTGGGTGCAGAGAGGGAGCAGTAAATGAAGTATTTTAAATGCATATTTCCAGAGTAGCAGTGTACGGACAACCGTGTACATGTGCGGCACCAAGAGTATCCGGTTAAGCCTGGCATCCTTGGAAACATGCTGGGAAGGTATAATACAGCAGGCCTCTGTTGAAGCTGGGGAAACTGGCAAGTGTGGGGTCCTTTGAGAAATACTTGTACAGAATAGGTGATGCTTTAAATGATGGTAGAACATACTATTCTTATATGGCAGCTGAGTAGTATTGGATATAATTATTTTTAATGAATGCTATTTGTAATAATATCATCTTTTGAACTTTAAGACTGGCCAATGTATAAAATGTTTTCCCTTGTATCCGTGTGGAGTGTAGCTTGAATAATTCTTTTCCCTTGTGCAGAGAAACCTGACGGAGTACTTTGTTGCTGTGGATGTGAACAACATGCTGCGCTTGTATGCCAGCATGCTGCATGAGAGGCGCATCATTATTACCTCGAGCAAATTAAGCACTGTAAGTCCTTCACACTTTCTCCTGTGACTAACACATGTTGAGTGCTTCACAGAGAGACCCACAGACGTCTGCCGAGTTAGAACTGTGCTACATGTACTTAAAAGACAGTATCGACACATTTTTAATATGGTTTTACTCAGGCTCTTGAAGTATAAAAGTCAGATTTATTGAAGCCTTCTCAGATGCATTAAGTCAGGTTAATTATTTTTCCTTATCAGGAGGCGAGGTGTTTTTTTTTTTTTTTCCTTTTAAACTCTCTAGAGTTCATTTTAGTGCCTTCATCACATAGAGAACTCTTAAGAGCTATTATGAGATCTTTATTATTCACTTGTGGCTTTTTCCATTGGAGCTACTTGAAAGAAACTGCGGGGCCATGATAATAGCTGCTATCCTAACCTGGTAATAGCAGATTCATCTTTCCTGCCTCGTGGGGCCTAGGAGTAGATTCTATAATAGCCTGGTTTGGAGGAGCTCTTCAGGCTGATAATAACTTAAAAGTCAAAGTAGCATTTTTATCAATTACAGGTTTGATGGCAGTCACTCTGATGTTCTTCTGGAAACTCTTCATTACTGAGAGAAGGGCAGGGATAGAAGGACTTTTCTTAAGTCATAGAGTTTTCAGAAGTATTTTGTTCATGTTCATATTTTTCTTTATTAAATATAAAATTTAGGTATTTCTATATTCAAAATGTATAAATTAATTGATTTGAATAATCTGTGATATATTAAAAACCATTATTAAATATTTTAATTTGTTTCTTCATGAATCTACTTCGTATAAAAAACTCTACTTTTAATATTTTAGTCTATAATAGAAATAAAGATCTTTTTTGAATATTGTAGCATTTTAGACTAGATAAAGTTTTAAGATTCTTCCAAGGTATCAAGTTAATGTTTAGTCATAAGAAAGGTGAGCTGGCTCATTGGTTAACAGTACGTGCTGTTCTTGCAGATGGTTGGGGTTTGGTCCCAGGACCCATGTGGTGGCTTGTGGTTTGTAGCTTCAGTTTCAGAGGATTTGATGCTTTCTCTGGCTTTTATGGGCACAAGGCATATACATGGTACACACAGATATGCAGGCATACATTTTGCATATAAAATTAAAAAAAGCAAAACAAAACCCAAGAAGTTTTCAAAGAAGTTAAATGCCCACTTCAAGACAAAAAGCTCTTGAGGATCCACAGTGTGAAACAAAACAGCTCTGGATTCTTTATAGGTGCTAGTCACTGTTACCCCAGAGTTGAACTCATACAATTTGAGATATCAAGTATATAATATTTTTATAATTGTTATTTTCAAAGTCAAAAATATGTTTATATTAAAAATAATGATATTTAAAGAAGATAGTATATAGATATGAGGAGAAAACATCAGAATATAGATGCTAGTAAATGACCCGGTTATTTTTCTCTTGGTAAGTTTAAAGAGGTGTTGAATCCATCTGACTGATTTCTGTGTTAATGATTTCACTCTTCCATTCAGGGTTCGTCACTGATGGTAAACCTTTCTTTATCTTCCCCTTCCTGCTCCTCCTCCTTATTTTCAAACATAATTTCTCTAAGATTTTAAAGATATTTCAGATGTGAATTATTCTTTTTTTTTTTTTTTAACTGTCAGAACAACTTTATTCAGAGGTCTGGGGAAAGGCTGGGGAAGTCCACGCTGTCTGCGGTCCTCCTCAGGGAAGATCTTACAGGGGTCCCCGGCACTAGGAGTGTGAATTATTCTTATGACAAAAAATATTGTCCAAGCTGTCTTATAGATGAAGGAATTCATGTATAAAATATTTTTGTGCCTGGCACTGTCCTAGGCACTATAAATTCAGCAGTAAGACAACCAAGGCCAATTTGTGTGCTTATATTGACCTGGCATGAAATATATAAATAGCTGAACAAATAAGCATCTATTATATGTGGAATGTGTGCCAAGGTGTAAGAGATAAATGAGTATGTACAGCCTGGCAGGTGATTGGCAGGTTTGTGTTTTCTGTGTGGACGGAGTACCTCTCTAATGAGGTAGAATTCAAACATACTGGAACAAAGCTGGGTGTGAGTACTGTGGGTGGGGGAAGTATAACTGCTGGTTACAAGACATGATTAAAGCTGAATATACCCTCTGTTAATGATGGGGTAACCTTTCTGTGACTTGGCTTCTTCACTTGTAAAGTGAGAGAAACAGCCATCATAATCTGCTAGGTTTGCTGGTGAGATTAAGGAGACACACACAGCAAATGATTAGGATTATATCTGCATAGGATACATGTACAGTGATTATTAGTACAACTTTATTAATTGTCAAAATTCATGATTTTAAGAAGCAGATTGTAATAAAGCTTTTTGTTAAACAAAATTATTTCCTGTGTTCAAGGTCAGCTTAGTATTAATTGTTTATGACAATCTATAACCCATCTCTTTTGGTTTAATTTCTGGGGCTGTATGGCTGGTAAAATAAACATAATTCAAATTTGCTTTTATAATATCTTTACCCTTCTGTATGGGAAATGAATTCATTATCTTGAACAGTTTTTTTTTATATATATGCAGTCTGAATAAATATAAATGCTCTAAATTAAGTGCAGCGTGACATTTAAGGTCAAGGTCTTATATCAAACAAATTAGAGGAAAACTTTTTTTTAAAAAACTTTAATGAAATCACTAAAACACAAAAAGGGAGAATGATGATTGCCTTGGTTCTAAGCTTTTTACATTTTTGTATTTTCATATATCATAGATACTTTGTCATGCTTAACATTAATGCATGAAGCCGTGTTTTACAACTTCTGATTATTTTTTACATCTCTGCTCAACATTTGAATTATTAATAAGAACAAATATATGTTAAAGCGTTTTAATGTTCATAATGTGATTGTTGCTTTGTAAGATTTGTTTGCTTTGGTTATTACTATTAGTCAATCATAATTTTTCATGGTTAAGATGGATGGCAGTCTTGGAGCTTGCTGGCATTTTCACTGGCATCCTGTGGTAGTGAATCAGCTAACTTGAAGAAGACTTTCTTCAGATTATATTTGTAGTTAAGATAATTTGTAATCCATTAAGTCAAGATCAGGTAGAAAGACTGAACAGCCCAATATCCCCCAAGGAAATTGAAGCAGTCATTCACAGTCTCCCCTCCAAAAAAAGCCCTGGGCCAGATGGTTTCAGCGCGGAATTCTACCATACCTTCAAAGAAGTGCTCACACCAATTCTCCTCAAACTATTCCACAAAATAGAAACAGAAGGTACATTACCAAACTTATTCTATGAAGCAACAGTCACCCTGATACCTAAACCACACAAAGACCCAACAAAAAAAGAGAACTTCAGACCTATCTCTCTTATGAACATTGACGCAAAAATACTCAATAAAATACTTGCAAACTGAATCCAAGAACACATCAAAGATATCATCCACCACGACCAATTAGGCTTCATCCCAAGCATGCAAGGATGGTTCAACATACGGAAATCCATCAATGTAATCCACCACATAAACAAACTGAAGGAGAAAAACCACATGATCATCTCCTTAGATGCTGAAAAAGCATTTGACAAAGTCCAACACCCATTCATGTTTAAAGTCTTGGAGAGATCAGGAATACACGGCACATACCTAAACATAGTAAAGGCAATATACAGCAAGCCTATAGCCAACATCAAACTCAATGGAGAGAAACTTAAATCAATCCCACTGAAATCAGGGACAAGACAAGGCTGCCCACTCTCTCCCTACCTCTTCAACATAGTACTTGAAGTCCTAGCCAGAGCAATAAGACAACTAAAGGAGATCAAGGGGATACAGATCGGAAAGGAAGAGGTCAAAGTGTCACTATTCGCAGATGATATGATAGTATATATGAGCGACCCCAAGAATTCAACCAGAGAACTCATCCAGTTGATAAACACCTTCAGCAAAGTGGCAGAATACAAAATCAACTCAAAAAAATCAGAAGCCCTCCTGTATACCAAAGACAAAATGGCCGAGAAAGAAATTAGGGAAACAACACCCTTCACAATAGCCACTAACCACATAAAGTACCTTGGGGTGACACTAACCAAAGACCTGTTTGAGAAAAACTTCAAGTCTCTGAAGAAAGAAATTGAAGAAGATCTCAGAAGATGGAAAGATCTCCCGTGCTCATGGATTGGTAGGATTAACATTGTGAAAATGGCCATCCTGCCAAAAGCAATCTACAGATTCAATGCAATTCCCATCAAAATACCAACTCAATTCTTTACAGACCTTGAAAAGAAGATTCTCAGCTTCATATGGAGAAACAAAAAACCCAGAATCTCCAAAACAATCCTGTACAACAACAGATCATCTGGAGGTATCTCCATCCCTGATCTCAAGTTGTACTACAGAGCAGTAGTAATAAAAACTGCATGGTATTGGCATAAAAACAGAAAGGAGGATCAATGGAACCGCATAGAAGACCCAGAAATAAACCCACACACCTATGAATACTCGATTTTTGACAAAGAAGCCAAAACCATTCAATGGAAAAAAGACAGCATCTTCAACAAATGGTGCTGGTCCAACTGGATGTCCACATGCAGAAAAATGAAAATAGATCTCTATTTATCACCCTGCACAAAACTAAAGTCCAAGTGGATCAAAGACCTCAACATAAAACCAGATACTCTAAATCTGTTAGAAGAAAAAGTGGGGAACAGCCTAGAACTCATTGGCACAGGAGACAACTTCCTGAACAGAACACCAACAGCACAGGCTCTAAGAGCAACAATCAATAAATGGGACCTCATGAAACTGAACAGCTTCTGTAAAGCAAAGGACACTGTCATCAAAACAAAACGCCTGCCTACAGATTGGGAAAGAATCTTCACTAACCCTTTATCTGACAGAGGACTAATATTGAGTATATACAAAGAACTAAAGAAGCTGAAAAGCAGCAAACAAAGTAATCCACTTAAAAAATGGGGAACAGAGCTAAACAGTGAATTCTCGACAGAGGAATATTGAATGGCAGAGAAACACTTAAA